AATCCGGACCCACTCCGGAAATCGGTGACCATTACTTTCCTCGCACACTGTACACCGAGATACAGTCGCCAGTCTCCGGCGAGCGGAATCGATCTGCAAAGCCTCTTCCGCTCGGGAGCAATAAGTCGAGCGTCGATCGAGTTTCGCCCGGTGGTAATCGAGGAAACGCTTACCCCCGACGTAACCAGGTGAACAGAAAAACCTGCCGGCCGGTTTCACGTTTGTTTTCGACGAGCCACCGGTCGCGGACGGCGCGCGTTCTTCGTAAAGCTCGAGTGACCGACTCCGTTTCCCTGGTCGCTTCAATGTCTGGCGCCGAAGCTTTTACTCGACTCCTCGGCGATCGAACTTTATTAGTTCCTTCGGCTTTTGCCTCGTTCGGTTTTAACGAATAGCCCGAATACCGGGGGATTCCCGAGTTTCGAGAATCCGAAACACGTCTCGGGACTGGCTTCGAATGTTCAAATGGTATCTATAAATATAGATCATGGGAATGTAGCGAGATTACTTAACTGGGCTACTAGGGATCCAGATAGAGACTTAACATTACAACTACCGTGGCAGTTATTGATATCACACAAGTATTAACCCTTCGAACTCTGTAGGCTCCAATATTGCACCGGTTGCAATATTAAATACTTCAATGAATCTTAAAGAAACTACCCTAAAATTATTAGATTCTCCACACATCCAAATGTTGTACTCCGAAGGAAAATAAAAGATCGAAGAAATGTTGCATTTCTCATTTTCGCTGGGACAACAACAACCTGGAGTTCTAAGGGTTAAGAGTTAAAGATATTTTCGAAGTTAAGAATTTCACCTGCGTGCTAATGTGCAGAAACGTTAACAAATCTACTGTCACAGTTTTGACGAGAATCGTCACGTACCAGTCGCATTAATTAGTAGTTCTAGTATTAAGAGGAATAACGCTCCATCGCATTATCGAGTTCCAATTGAACGGAGATCCTGGACAACCTACATCACAGAAAGTAGCGGCTGAATTAATCGAGAGCCTACTGTACAAATAGCCTATGGCTTCGCGTGTTCCAAGTTGTAGTACGCGGGAACTGGGAAACGTTACTGTTAGATGAAGTCAGATTGAGAACCCTTGTTAGGCCACCGGGTTAGGTTAGAGGCTCCGAAATATCGAGGTTCCGTAGAATCTCGAGAAGCACGTTCCTGGAGTGGCCCAGGTGTACATACATACTCCGTACATAAGTGTACGTTTGAACCTGATCCAACGCTTAGGCGGTACGGTCAAGGCACCGTAAAGTAACTGAAATCTTTACTTTCCCGGCGCGGTAAACTTGAAAAGTGTGCTACCCTTCCCGTTCACGGCCGGCGAGGCTGGAAACGAGAGTGCGCCGGGTAACCCGTTCGGCCGCCACGAAATCCGAGACAGGGAAAACTAGGTTTGCTGAACCGAGTCCGGCACACGGTCGTCGGATTTCGAATACCTCGAGGAAACTGAAAGGCCTTGGGGAATTGATCGACAGTCACCCCTTTGCGCTCGACGTCCTGTGTTACGACGAAGGTAATGCTCGCTTGAATTCCAGAACCTCGAGTCCCACAGTTGAATTTAACCGAGCACTGCTCGAGTTCATTCTTGGACGCAAGTAGCTTTCTCCTGTTTGTGCTCGCTTAAATTCCAGAACCTCGGGTCCCACAGTTGAATTTAACCGAGCACAAACAGGAGGAAGCTATTTGCGTCGAGGAATTAACTCGAGCAGTCTGACGAAGGCGCAGGATCGATATAGAGCGGAAGCGGGATAGACAGTGTCGAGCATGGGGGTCGAGACTCCAAAACGATGTCGTACGTCGAATGTAAATATGGGAAGAAAGTTTCGATTGCAGTCATTTTAATGTTACCTTCTTAAATATAGCGCCAGTGGATTCCTGAGATCCTCGTGATCGAAACGAGTCCAAACACGGTGGGAATCGGACTAGTTTTACCGACTTGATGTAATTAACGAGATTAAAGGTTCGTTTCCACCGAATCGATAGAACTAGACCGATTCACGTCGTGTTTGGACTCGTTTTAATCGGAAGCATCTCTATTGGTACGATTGAGAAGGTGAAGTTAAAATGATTGCGATTGGAATTTCCTTTGCCGCATGTTTACACGTGACGCATGCGGAATCTCTTTGACCTGTGCTTAAGCGAGCATCGCTGTGTTCATTATTTTGTGATGAAATGTCGAGCACACTGTTTCCAATGTATACTAACACGAAGTAGACTAACATAAACAGAGATAATGTACCGACAAAAAGACACATCTTGCATAAACTGAAACTGGTTTCTTTCCACGTTTCTCGCGTTAATGAATTAATTTAAAATTTAATACTGAACGTTTGATCGTGCAACTTTGCTGCGTCGGATGAAATGGCGAGCGAGTCGCATCTCGAGAGCAAACGATTGACTTCTAGACTAGTTGGAAACTTGTTGGCTTCTAGCATCTATCAATTTCTTTTGTAAATCTAAATCCTCCGAGGATGTCTAGAAAAATTTTATCTCGATCTTTTTATGTACAATAGATCTCTGTCCTGCCCGTCTGTGTTATACGCAAAGAAAGATATTTATCGTTAATTAGATGTAGAGGATTGATATGGGAAACTCATTGTTGGAACAGAGATACTACTTATAAAAGCAGCAACGGAAATGAAGCGCTCTCTGCGAGGATAAAAGGAGCCATTAAATTTTTTATCAAATAAATATTATGGTTCCGCGGGACCGGCAACTGTAAACAGATGCCTTTTCCTGGTTCGGTTAATGTGGAATGCAATTAGCGCGAAACAAATAAAATCCACGAGTTAATTGAATCTTAACGACCATGACCACACCTTGTAACTGTAGTTCTCACTATCTTACACGAAACTTATTATTCTTATTGCTATTTACGAAACTCATCTTGTCGTTAAAACGTTCCACAAAAACAATCATAATAAGCTCGTCAAAAATTATTTCTCCCGCCCGGTAATTACTCATACCGCTCTTATCAAATCAAGTCCAATCGAACGAAAGCGATCTTGAAACTAACTCGGTGAAACAAAGGACATTCTGCAATCGTTTATACAGGGTGGAACCAAAAGTTTCATACTAGAATTTTGTTTCTAATTACACTGATACGTACACTAACTTTATTTGTTATACATTTCCAAACAATCTGATAGGCGTAATGCAGATTACTAATCTGTGAAAGTCATCATTAAGAATTTTAAAACAGAAACGTCATAATACACTAACATTCAGCTAGATGATCTCGCAATAACAATGCAATTTTTTCTATTTTCAATATTTCGCTCTATAAAATCAACGTTCAACGTGTTAATGAAAGTATGAAGAGTAGAATACTGCACGGCTCTAGTCGTAATTAGCCTACATATAAAAAAATGGACGGCTACAGCCATTGTTTACAGCGATGGCCAACCATAATTCGATGCACGAAAGAATATTACCAGCGCGTAACAGCTCGTTGAACACGGTGGTCGCGGTGACACCGAACATGTCCGCCGGGACGAGCCGCGAACCGTGTGCCGTGCACAAGACGCGTCATTAGACGCTAATCGTTGGGAATCGGTTCGACGGGAATAACGAGCGACACGGATCGCCGTTGCTGCATCATTTCCCGACTCATAAAGCAACCACGAGACGCGCCGGCCGAAGCAATGAGGAAGCGTCGCCGGGACCAGATGGAATGTCTATTTCGCTTTCGCGTTTCCACGAGCGCGACCGTGCCGTCGACGACGACGACGACGACGACAATGTTCGGCGAGCACGGACGACAGAAAATCTTTTCCTGATACGTGCGGCGAATCGTCGGGCCACGGGCGAATATTCTACGCGATAGAAACGCACCGAGCATTAATTAACCAGCGATACGTGCCTCCGGGGATAATGGAAACGCGTCCCGTTACAAAATGGTAATACCCGATTTTCGTCCCGCGGCGGACTCTAGGTAATCCGGCCGCGCGGAGATTGAGGTTAAGCGTCACGCTATCCAGAATCGTGTAACTTTAGATGTGGGTCATCGGTAATGAAAGAGAAAGTACCTTTGTAAATAGAAAACAAGCTCGGGAATAATCGTTGCCCGATCTTGCCAGCGGAGTGGAGGTGCCATTCGGGGTAATTCTAGTTTAATGGATGTATTGCTCGGCGAGCGTACTCGTGTACGTGGAAGAATTATGAAATAATGCTTCCGAGAAAGAAAGAAAATTTCTGAGAAGAAACAGGAAAAGGAAGAGAATGAAAATTTCATAGAAACGTCATAGATGTTGGATCCGATGGACGTCTGGAAATGAACGTCCACGTTGATTCATCCGACGGTCGTTCACGGACGTTTCTAATGTGTGCAAGAGTGGCAGAAATATCCGTAAGCCGAAACTAATGGTCGAAAGAGACAATGTGCAGGGGCCTGAGAAACTGTCACGATTCTATGACGTATCAGCTGATTCAGTAGTGCGCAGGCTGCGGGGAGGCAGCGTTACTTGCAATTTCGAGACGATTTCTTTGTGCGTCCGCAGCGGCTGCGATAAAACTATGAAAACCGGGGAAACGATCGGGAATCGTAAACAAGGCCGAGCCGACTGACAGCGGCGGCGGTGCCTATCAATGAAGCATACGTGCCGCACGTATATCACGCAGGTGTAACACACGTCGCCCGAAGCACCTCAGGGGTATCGTGCGAATTTTCACGAAACAGGTGGCAACAGCGCGCAGGTCCAAGTAAGACGGAGAAGAGAGAAAGAGAGAGAGAGGAAGAGGAAGACAGGGAGAACGGGCAGCGAACGAGGAGGAGAGAGACAGACCGAAACGGGGGACGAGGAAAAAAGAACGAGCGCACGCGTTCGATCAGCTAAAAGCTACGCGATCGAGGAACGGCACAGGAGCGACGGAAAGACGAGAAAGGACGAGGATCCGTGAGCAGGCGGTACGAGGAAGGGAAACGGGAGATAGAGAGATCGGTCGGTATGCCCGCACTGTGAACGTGAATCGGTGCTCACCTTAGGCCTGTAGAACCATTTTCTGATAGACTCCATCGTAAGGCCGTCGAGGATGTCGGCAGGCTCACGGACGAGTCGTCACTGCGCCTCTCGCGGCCAAAGCACTTGCGACATAGCGAAACGTGCCACCGCGACCTTACCAGAAACCGTCACACCACCGGACACCAACAGTCGAACACGCATACGAAATGGAGTTTCCTCCTCCGTCGGCTGGTATCACCGTGAAACGTACGGCCGTCGTCGGTCTCGCTCGAGCAACGCATCCGAAACTACGCGTCAAACGTGAATCGCGCGTCCGTACGACTGACTGGACTGCAACAGACTGCAAAGGCGCAGCTCCCCGTTGCGCATGCGCCCGCGCGACATTATGGTCGACGTGACGTACACCCACGGTCAAAATAGTTCTGCGTCCCACTCCGTGCTCGTATAGGATGGACGCGGTGTCTCTCTGTTTCTTGATTCTGTTCGATGATGATGATGATGATGATGATGATGATGATGATGACGACGACGATGACGATGATGATTGAATGATTTAAAGGTACCTCGCTGGAATTAAGATGCCACGGTCTTGACGTATCGATGATCGAGAATTCTGATGAATTTTCTTGGGCCTGTATCGAGGAATTGTAATTATTGTAGCGGTTTTAATTGATGGTACGGTCGAAGGTTACCTGGCGACATCTACGGTGGAACGGTGAAGCTGGTAGCTGATTAATGTTGGATGATTGTTCCTAGGTGGCGGAGTAATGCATTTCGTAGGCGCCATTTATTTAAATGGTTTGAATTGTGTGGATTTTTTTGTTAATTACATACGTTATTGATTGAAAGATGAGTGAAACAAAGTAGACTTGATGAATGGAATAGTGTACACAATCGTTATTTGTAAAACTATTAGGATAGAAAATAAAAGCACCAGCGATACACAGAAGGAATTTAATAATATTTAATCGGAATTTAACATATTTTGATCTACGTGACTAGATTATAAAAAAAGCAATTAAAAATGTATGACTTTAACAATGTTAAATAGTATGGATCACAAATTATGCACATTTATATGTAAGTTCCATATTTCAAGTATACATTTGGAGTTAAAATTACAAAATAGGTTCCAACAGATCTACTTAATAGTAAAATTGTCTAAGCCTCGAGTCGATAAGACAATAAAGACAACAGAATGGATTCTAATATACAAAGTACATTGATCACATAAACTATGAGCTAAAATCAAAATGCAGTCTAACAATTATAGAAATTCCTTCGATTACATTAATAATAATTGTCACCAATGCGAGAACACAAACCTATTAACGATAATGATAAAGAGGGTAAACTTATACTACCTCGATTTTACTTCTTGAGATTCGTGTACACATTAAAGAAAATGGAATGTATATTTCTCTACCGTAACGAGCGACGTTGGTACGGTCCTCGAGCAGCTAAAGAAAGATATTCACATGTCCACGTAAAATTTCAAACGCATTGAAATCAACGTCGTCAACAACGACGTAGTGTTGAGCCTTAAACATTAGTAGAGTAGAAATCGAACACACCTTTGTGCGTGTACTCTCAAGAAGTAACGCCATAATCTTATTTATCAGTTGCTTTGCTTAAAACTTTTTGAAAATAATATTGACAATGTTCAACATTACATTCATTAGATTCTACGATAACGACACGTATAAATTGTAACTAGACTTTAAAATTTAATTCCTGAACAGCTTATCGTAAATCATCGAAACGTAAATTCACTACCGCTAGTAAAAATATATTAAGAATTATATTTTTTTCCCCCCGTTTTCCTTTCTATACAAGGCAAAAATCTCGATTTTGAAAATAGAAACATTCATGTAATTAAATCTTATTGAACATTCTTCTTCTTCAAATGCACGTGTAATAAACAGTGCATAGCTCAAAAAGTTATAAGCAAAATGCTTCTCGCGAGCATACTTATATTATGCTCATTTCTTTTGTGCAATAACACTTTTATCTCGTCGTTTCGGTTACACCCCCTAAGTATTTCTGTCAAAAACTGTAAGTGTCGCCGTAAATACTGGTTATTTAACTACAGAAACATCTAGTGTTCAATACAAGCATTACTATAAATTTGCTTGAAAAATTCAAGGTTTTCACTAAACAAGTAGTTGTTCTCAACTCTTTTTTACGTTTTTTTTTACTTTTACTTGTAATGCACTACCACGCCCTTCTTTATACATAGAATCTGCGCGAATCGCTATTCATCTAAGACATCTATATCACTTGAAATGAGAGTAG